TTATTTAAAAAAAGGATGGTCGAGTGGCCCATTCCACTCCTTGGGCTGCCACGAAGCATCTTCCATCTCATGACTTAGTGAGTGAGCCGTGAACTTCTTTCATAACCTTGCTTCAAATGAGGCTAGAAACTCCCCTGATGTTGGACCAAGCAAAGAAATGGTTTTTCCTGTCAAAACTTATGAAAATAATCCATAATATCGAAGGGGTAGGTTCTATAGAGAGGGGAGAGTGGACCATCTACTTTCTATTTGAAAGACTCCGAAAATGATCCATATCATTTCACCCCTTACTTCATTGTAAAAATAAATTAAAACCTAGCTTTACTTGTATTATTTTCTTCATTATTTTTAATTGTTTTTTTCTTCTTGTTTTTTTGTTTCCATACCGTTAATGTTATCAATACTGTTTTTTCCATATAGATTATATGCGTAATAAAACCTGGTATTACTATTGTTTTTTTTTTCATTTTCTTTTATTTTTTTTATACGAGTCTTGTATATTTTTGATCAATCAATTAAAAAAAGAGTTGCATGGTGGCTTAAGGCCCAAATATAGAGAAATACAGTTTTTTAACATCCATATGGATTATGTACTCAATATTTTTTCTTCTTTTTTCTTTACTTGATTTTGTATTCAATGGTGTGCAAATGTTTATGTATTTTTGGTAAAACAATGAACAACAATAATATAATACTCCTATATTTTGGAAACTTTATAAATTAGATTCTTAAGAAATTTTTAGCAATTTTTAAAATTTTCTAAGGCCAGATCAGCTTGAACCGGCCAATCCACCGATATGAACAGTGATATGTTGAACTAGGCCAATTTTTAGGATGGACAATCTAGGTCACCGATCCATTTTTTAAAACATTAATTTACACATCCTAGATGACATGTGAGCTATCTATTGGAAAATCGCTTTACGGATCTGATTTTTTATATCAAAATATAGAAAAGACTACAAATAGACCATTTACTTTTAGATTACAATCACTCTTGTTTATTATATTTTATATCGGGCAATTGTAAGCAATGTAGTCATATTCGCTTTAGAGTCTTCTTCAGTTTGGTAAGATAAATGAAGCAATTTAGTGCATCGGCCGATTCGGGGGAAGTCTTCTTACTTTTTAATCTAGTATAAATAAATTATATCTGTATATACAAAATATATACAAATAAATTTTTTTTTTAAATACATTTACATAGGTACTTCTTTGCTAGCCGAAACAGACCCAAAGCAAACTCGAAGCATATGCGACGCAAACCTGAAGTGGTCCGAATTTAACCGAAGTAGCCCGAAGCGGTCCGAATCTAACCAAAGCAATAGCACCAAGCTTCACTTCTTTTTTATTTATGCCTAAAATCTGAAGGCTTCGGCCTCTTTTGACACTTTACAAACTAGGAAATAATGAGAAAAAAAAAAAAAAACTAGCTAGAGATAAATATTAATTAATTGAAGAAGTAAAGGAGACTTACCCCTGGGAAATCGATACATGGAGTTTCGGGCTTAGATCAAGATGTTCTTCTTATTTGCAGCACCATCTCCTTTCTTATGCTTATGCTTACTAGAATCAGTAGATCTGAAGTTTTCTTTAGTTTTTTTATATATATATGGGCAGTGATTTCATACAACGTTTGTATCATAGTGTAATGCAACAACGTTTCTAGAAAACTATGTTTGTGGTATTTGTATGACCTTATATATGGGCAGTGAATTCATGCAACGTTTATATCATAGAATAATGCAATGACGCTTCTAAAAACCATGTTTGTGGTATTTGTATGACCCTATATATGGGCAGTGATTTCATACAACGTTTATATCATAATAGAATGCAACGATGCTTCTAGAAAACTATGTTTGTGGTATTTGTATGACCCTATATATGGGCAGTGATTTCATGCAACGTTTATATCATAGTATAATGCAACGACGTTGCTAGAAAACCATGTTTGTGATATTTGTATGACCCCTAATTTTTTCACACACACTGTTTTCATCTCAATAATCAATCCCCAAAAAAAAAAAAGTTCAATTTGAACCCTAGATATAGTCAAAATGAGTCTCATCTAAAAACGAATCTAGGTCATTCATTTTGTGAATTTCAAGATATTAGCCTTTAGAAACTCAAAATCATTTTTTAAAAAAAAAAAATTGTTCATCTAATGATAATAAAGCCACCCAAAAAAATTGAAAATGAAAAAAATCCTTTTAAAGCCTAGATCTAAGCATCTCACCAAAATAAATATATATGAGAAGGTAAGGTTTTGATTGTTAATATATAGATATTATTATAATTACCTGATTGATAAATCATAAATCGTTGTATGCAGGCATACTTGCAAATATATCCTATCAATTTTTCCATAAGTTATATTTAAAAAATAGAAGCGTGTACAAGAAACTCCCTTAAAAATGAGAAAAAAAATGAGAAGCTAAGGTTATGATAGGAATTGAACATAGTTTTATTACTAAGCATCTTGATTGCTTCGGTGTATATTAATAGTTTTATTACTAAGTATCTTGATTGCTTCGGTGTATTAATGAAGGCTTCCAAAACAAAATAAGAATAAATTATACAACACAACCAAGACCAAGATGGTGATGATCCGAATTTATCAATTTTTATCTCATCACATTATTTTTCACCCAACCCAAAAAAATATGGTGTCATGGTCACACATCTTTCAATTTTTCTTTCTCATTTGCTATTGAATCCGATCAAGTCTCTCATGGTCTTTGTGCCATAGAAGTTGTAGGGCATGGATTAAGACGTGGTTAGGTAGTGGAAGGGGTTGTTGCATTTGATCGGCGGCCTCTAGCTACCCTCGGCGCAGGCAAAAGCCCTACAAATTGAGCATCACCATCAGTAACAACTCCTGCATCCAATGCGGTCGATGCATCTACGTTATCCTTGAGGTGGTCTTCGTTAGGGTTAGGGTTAGGGTGAGCATCCCGTGTTTAGATCACTGATACAACATTGTAAAAAAAACCGGACATTCTAACAGCTAAGCATCGGATCGGAATCGACCGGTATTTAAAAAAAATGTATATAAATTCTCAAAAATAAAAAATTTGGTTTGTAATATATTTTTTAATATCCTTTACATTATAATAATAGGTAACAATTATTTTTGTTATTAATAGTCACTTTATTTAAAAAATCAATTCGTTAAAATTTATTTTTTCATTAATTTTCACAATGTGTTTTAATCTTTATTTATAGGAAAAAATTTATATAAGATTGCAATCTTAAAATGTAGAATTAAAGGTGCACCTAAAAAATCCATTGGAAAATGTTGTTTTGATGTTGAAAGACCCTATGATTGACCATCTCAACATCGAGATGAACGAATATAAACAACAACAACAAAAAAAAAATTGAGTCCCAAAAATAATATATCTTCCAACACATTATCTAAACTATCCATTTTCAAATATGGGATTTTCATATGTATATAGATCTACTTGATTTTAACTATTTTTAAAATTTAAAATTTTATAATTAGAGTTGAAAATAGATTTTAAGATAATCTTAAGAATTTTTTACACTCAAATTATATGTTATGATAGAATTTGAAAGTACGTTTTAATTGAATTGTTAAAATTTGCAACCTTGTAGAAACCACATCCTTTAATAAGGAAAAAGTTTATATAAAGTTGCAACTTTAAAATGTAGAATTACAAATGCGCTTAAAAAATCTATCAAAACGGTTGTTTTAATTATGAAAAACCATCCAATTGATCATCTTGACATTGAAATGTATGAATATGAAAAAAAAAAAAATTTGAATATGTATCTTACAACACATCATCTAGACTGTATCTTACAACACATCATCTAGACTGTCTATTTTCAAGATTTTCATATGTTTATAGATCTAGTTGATTTTAACCTTTTTTTAGAATTTGAAAATTTCTAATTAGATATGAAAATAAATTTTAACATAATCTTAAAAATATTTTAAAACAAAATTATATGTTATGATAAAATTTTAAAGTGCGCTTTAATTGGATTGTTTAAGGTTACAACCTTATAGAAACTGTACCTTTCTAGTAAATTTATTTTTGTATACTTTTTTATTTTTTTGACTATCCAAGATTTTCTCAATTACAACAGTTGAATTAACCGATTTGCCAGTTAGATCAATTAAACCACTTCCAAAGTCATAACCAGTTAACCGTTCTAGTACGATTTTACGAACACTACGATCAAACCCAATCTTCCCCTCCGATCGAGCTTTTGAACTTTGGAATAAAAGCCTACATGGAAACCAAAAAAACAAAGAAGAGAACAAAGTCCTCGTGTCCACAAACCAATTCTCATTATTTCATATTTATTTAAGAGAAAATATCCTATATATAGATTTGAACCTTTTGATCAGTTTAAACTTATTTTTTAACCTAAATAAATATGAGAAAGACTTGTTTTTTTTTTCTATTTATATATCTCAAACTTCTTTTTTTTCTCTCTCCTCTTATGTATCTCTAAATACCTCTCTTTCCTCCCGAAAATTTCTCACTTCTCTAAAACCCTTCTCTCTCTCTAAAAAATTAAAAAAATAATATTTATTTAAATTTGTTTGACCTAAATAAACATATTTAAATTAATTCACGGCTTAAAAAAAAAAATCTACAATTTTTGTCTTAAAATATCTTTTAAAACTTTAAGTTTATTATAAAATAAAACTTAAAAATAGAAAATATTGACATATTTTTCATTTTTTTTTAATACCATACGAAACTTGAGAAAGCTGTCTATGTCCCCCTTGCAACCTAAAAGTTCTATCCTCTCAAAATACTTTTGAAAATTTAAATAGTATTTTAGTCATTATATTTTATCAAAAAATTATTTTTATATTTTATTATATATATTTTGGTCATTATATTTTATCAAAAAATTAATTTTAATATTTTATTATATATACGAAAAAATACACCTATCAAATTTCATATCTAAAATATTTATATTAAAAAATTAAAAATAAAATACTTTGAAACGTCGGATAATAAATCGGATAATAAATCAAACGGTAGGTAGCTTTCTTCGTAAAAAAAAAATACGGCTTGATCGTACGGGGCCGATGGAATGGGAACGTAGAAAGCTTTCCCAAAAAACTTAGATCAACCTTTATGTACCGTCCAAGCTGAAATCAAAAGCACCCAGCCGAAAAACAAAAAACACGATCAATTTGACAGATACATTCTCAGGCCCACCATGAAAGCACAGAGTAAGAACTTTAAGAGAACAGAAACCAAAGCACTTAAAAGACCACTCTCTCTCTAAACTCAAGCAACCCACCCACTCTCTCTCTAAAGTCAAGCAACCTTGACCTCAATGGTCTTGCGCTTCTTGGGCTCAGGAGGAGGCACCTTCTGAACAGTCACAGTAAGAACCCCATCTTGGCAAGCAGCTGAAATGGCCTCCACATTAGCATTCTCAGGCAAATTGAACTTCCTCATGAATTTCCCAACCCTTCTCTCCATTCTCACATGTTTGGCCTCTGGATCTTCTTTCTCTTCCCTCTTTCTCTCCCCACTGATGCTGAGAACCCTGTCGTCTTCGACCTGAACCTCGATATTGCCGGATTTGAGGCCGGGCATGTCGATTATGAAGACATACGAATTGGGGTACTCTTTGATATCGGCCGGTGTCGAGGCCATGGCTTTGGTGTCTCGAACATAGGTTCGAGTGGGTGCGTTCAGGAGCTTCTCCATATCATCTGGTTGGTTCAACAGGTGGTGGATGGTTGAGAAAAGAGGTTGCTCCATTACAAGGTCCATTCTCTCTCTAAGATTTTGGGAATGTTGACAATGAATCGTTTCTCTCTCTAAACATCGTGAGTGAAATTCACCTTTTCCGACCTCTGATGAGAGAGAAAGTGTGGGGTGCAGGTGTTTATATAACATGGATGGGAGAAGGTTCTGGAATGGAGAGAGTATTTTTGAGGAGCTTCTGAAAGGATCCCCGACCTTGCCAGAAACCCCCAATTTTCTTCTCTCTCTTATGCGCTTTCTCTCTCTACTTTTCTTCGCTCTTATTCGCTTCTTTCTCTTTCTGCCAGTTTGTATAGGGCCGAGGTTCTAAACAATCAAAATAAAACGGACCTCCAAATAGTATCAAGAAAGGTGGTTTCAATATTGAAAATATTTGTGATAGTCTTAAAATGTATTTTTATTTTTAATTATAAAATTTAAAGCTTTAAAAATAGTGTAGATTGAACAGATATATGAAAATCTTGAAAATTGACGGTCCACAAATGCGTAACAAAATGTATTATTTTTAGAACTTGAAATTCATTTTTTTCCATGGTCATGCCTCTTGATGTCGAGATGATCAATTTGAGGATATTTGAAAATCAAAACAACCCCTTTTAGTGAAAATTTTGAGGTGGGCTCTAGTTTGATTGTTTAGAGCCTCGGCTCTATATAAACTTTTTCTTAATATCTAACCTTGAGGAAAAAATTTATTTGAATGAGTGTTTTAATTTGGAAATTGGCCAATTATAGATGTAGGGATCATATTGTATATCAACTTTTTGAGGTAAAATAGTTATGTTAGGATTTTTTTTTTAATTTAAAATTTTGGATGCATATTAGTGTTATTAGATGATTATTATAAATAAATAAATAAAAGAACATTTAAATTTTGAGTTTTGAACATCTATATTATTCACTCCAAAAATCAGTTCGTGTGCGATCTTAGTATGATATTTTTTTTTGGGGCATGCAGAGAATGAAAGTTTTGAAGTCTTCTTTTCATTTAAGTTGGTTGTTGGATTCTAGAAATGAGTGTGTATACTATGCTCCCTTGACGAGTCACAAGACCACCTTGGAAGGAATTTTGTCTGCTTTAAATTTAGGGAACACTCTAAGAATTAATAGATGATTATTCTCAAAAAAGTTTTAAAAATAAGTTTTTTAACACTTAGATTTCACCATCTAAAAATTAGATGGTCCATATTCAATCTCGAAAACTTTTTTTTTTTTGTGCATGTGCATAGGGGGTACAATTAGGAAATATTGTTTCGAGGCCAATCAATAGGTTGAAGGTGTTACAACCCTGAAATTTGGTGCTCTAAGATTAATTCTATGTGAGTTATACCCGAGGGAGTAAATGGACATTCTACCCCTGCGGGAGTAGAATATCTTTTAGCTCTAGAAATTACGTCCCCAAATTTAGAATCTACAGGGTACTCTCAGCATGATTTTTTTCCTGAGGGATTAAATGGGCAGCATACTCCCAAGGGAGCATGAAATCTATTAGCTAGACCCACTACATACTATATTTTTAATACCCTTTTATTTTCCTTCGTTTCCGATTTATCTATTATTTTTTTTATTTTCCACAATATGTTTCTAACGTGTTTAATTAGGGTTTTCATTAATGAAAAATATTTTGTGGTGCCCACAGGATCAAATTGTACCTGTGGTGTAATATCCAAAACCCCATGTCTGAAGTGCTTGTTTTTTGGACCCCAAAGTTCTCCAATCATCTTTAATTATCTCTAAGAAAAAGTTTTCTACATGAATTTCCACTCCAAGATTGACTGCCTGTCATTTGATGGATGAGGTTTTAAGAGTTTCATTCTTTTTGTGGAAACATATTATTAGAGAGTTAATCAAAGGCAACCATAATTCAGGTGTGTTTTATTTCTAGTTCGGAGTTCAAGGAGGGTGTGGGGAAGTTAAAGTTTCATTTTAAGGGCGTGAAAATGAAGCTTGAAGTTTCATGAAACCAGTGAATTCAACCCTTAGAGGCCTCGAACTAACCGCCAAATGTAATCTGACCCTACAAGTTTCAAATTGCATGGAGTGCCTTAAAAAAAAAAAAAGGAAAAATAAAAAAAAAATAAAAAATAAAATAATAGACGTACTTCAACTTTGTGAGCTTAATAAATTTGGCCCTCGTACAATTTTATTATTAAAAAAGGGATGAAGTTTCTACAAGGCTTACGCTTTATGAAAACGGAATAAAACCTCATTCCAAATTACCATCCGGAAAGCACTTTCAACAACACAAAACTCCATGATGGATCCAAAACCAATTTCCAACACTAAAAATAAAATCTAAAACTTGAAAAATGATACAGATCTTATGAATTTATGAACACTTATTTTGAAGGCGAAATGGACAGTCTAAATAATTTGTTATAATAATTATTTTTAAAACTTGAAATCCTAATTTTCTTTTACCACCATAATGCTTAAACCAAGATTATCAATGTAAAAGTTTTCCAATACTTGAATTGTAATTTTTGATGAGTTACGAAGTGATGCTTTACTTAATTTGATAAGGCCGCAACCCTGTCAGACCATTTTCCTTAAAAAATTACAAGAAAAGGGGCTTCTTTATACAACTGACCTATTATGGAACTATTTTTTAGTATAAAAAAACGGATCCATACAATAATTTCCCTTATTTATTACTCGTGACATCCCATAAAACCTCGATGGGACCATTTTTATGAACAATCTAAAGATAAAAAAGGAGAGAAAAAAACAGAAGGAAAAAGAGAGAGAAAAGAAATTACAGCATGTTTAGGCCCTCAACTAAGGTACACCATAAAATTATCAAAATAAAAAAATACCCCTAGTTAATTTTGAACATGGAAAGTTTCTACGTTCTTCATAACCCCATTTTTTAAATGAATAATGGAAACTGAGGTTGAGAGAATAGCTCTTGCTTTATAAATAAACACAAGGAAAGGAAATCAATTAATTAATTAATTAACGTCAAAGCCTTTTCCCAACAAAAGGAAAGGAAAGCAATTAATAAAAGTTTAAATGCAAAATCATATATATATATTACTCAGGCACAATATTGTACACTGTTTTTTGGTTTTTTATACCTCATTTCAGGTGAAAAGAGCAGCCTTTGAGACATCTTGAGGAAAGGACAGAATGGTAATTTGAACTGGCTTCTATACGTAGAATTCTTTGCCTGATCAATCGATCCAGTGAATCCACCAAATCTGGGTCCAGCTTTTCTTGACCCATTGTTAAGTTTGAGAGACTCCGGCAAGTTTTCTACTCTTTTGATGGTTTCTTCAAGTGGGATTGCGACCTTCTTTCTAACAAATAAAGCAATGAAAAATCCCTCCTTATCCTGCACCATATCTGTCCGAACCAAATGTGAAGCTGAAAACATATGCAAATACATGAGCAAATGCATGAACCATCCAAAACTGAAACAAGCACCCAGAAAACACTGCAATTACATAAGCTCATAAACCTGTGTATATATGTATGTGTGTGGGTGTGGGTGAGAGAGAGAGAGAGAGAGAGAGAGCATAAAATAGAAAGAAAACGGAAAATACCCAAGCAGAGCAAATGCATAAAAAAGGAAACAAAATGCAAAATACATGAGCACCCCATGATCCTGACAAGAGAGACAGACGCGAAATATGAAATTTGGGACACTCACAGCCTTCAAAAACTGGAAGACCACGGCGGGGCCACTGTGGAAAAGGAGATGCCAATTCGAAGTTGAGGGAAGCAGCCAGTGGGAGAACTGAATTCACGACATCCTCATTTTCAATTTGATGGATGGAGCATGTGCTGTATACCACCCTTTCGACTGAGGGAACTGCAAATAAAAAATATAAGAGGGTTGTTTTGGAGGCCTTTTTTTTTCTTTTCTTTTCCTTATTTTCCTGAAAGAGTGATTTGGTGCTCTTCACAAATAAATGCATTCAAATGTCAATTGACATTGTTGGATTTGTTGTTGAAATAGTTCATACTTACATGACAGCGCATGAGCAAGGGCCCTTGATTGAAAAGCAGCTAACTTCTTTGCTCTTTCCCTTTCTGCATCATCATCAGATAGACCTGAATATATGTAGAAATTAGTGAAACATTACCAAAAACACACGAAATTGAAAAACGAATTTGTCTTAAAACACTACAAGACTTACCATTATTATTGGTTACTTGACATGGCCAGGAATAACACAGATTTTTCCCTAGTCGGAACTAATTTTTACAAAAAGATTACCCAGTTTGTATTCTCAAAGAAAAGGAGAAATGGAAAAGACCAGAGACTATGACATTATATGTCACCTGTTCCATAAGATGGAAGCAAATGATCCAATCTGTCAATAGCAGTTCCAGATCCAGAGCAGGAAGGATCTAAAAGAATGGCACGAACCTGCATAATAGCCATCAGAAAATGCACATATTATGATGAGTTCTGACTGCCAACATATTTTAGAAGATACAGCATGTAATATTTTTAGAAGATAGAGCATGTAAGAGTGTAAGACAAGTTATAATTTAGAACGACCGGGTTAAGAAAAGAAGTAGCTAACTTATCACGAAGCAAGAAAACTGATGCTTCAAAATAAATACTTATAATTCATAAACCATAATGCTCTGGTTTCAGAAGAAAAAAGATGTGATGCCTTGTAGTACACATAACAAAAATTCATTAAAACAATCTATAAAGCAAACAAGTCAAATCTCACTAGACCATATGAAAAAGGCAATGACAATGAAATAAAGGTAAAAAAGGCATAACAATGAAACACCAAGTTAAAAATTCCAATTCAGTGGAATATCTCAATGTTTCTCATGATGATCAATGCATACTTCTCCAGTACTCGAGGCTCAATTCTTCTTAAATATTTCCCTAGAATGTTAATTTTGGAGGCATTTTCTCTCTGGTCACTTCTATATAACAATTCTATGAGAAATTCTTTCTCAAGTGGGTAGCTACTAAAGGTTTGCTCCTCACAAATCCATGCATGATTGGGAAGTTCTCAACGAGCAATTCTCTTTCCCTTTAGATGAACATGCAGAATACAGAAGTCATTAGGCATTCGGAGGCACTGCAAGCAACGAATATAACATTGGTAAAATGACAGCTAAAAACAAGTCCAAATGGTTTCACAACAACATTGAAGTGTATCATTTGATTTTACATGAAAATCTTATGATATGAATACCCTCAATCTGGTCTAGGAGAAATATGTGGAGTTAATTCAAAGGATGTCAATGAAGCAAAGGTCCTCAATGGAAAAGAAAAGGAATAAAATTTGTTACAATTAAATTACATCAAAATAAACAATTTGTAGAATGTATAAGGATACCTTTGAAAAAGGGGCTTCTCTCATATTTATCTTCAGGAAATCCTCGTGCAAAATTTCCACATCTAAATCAAGTGAAGGACAATAGAAGGAAACATGGCATTCTGTATGGACACAATTTCAACCAAGGACAGAAGAAATTTGATTGAATAGTAGCAACAATGAAATGAAGATCATCAAAGCATCTGATTTCTTATTGATATTACCATTTATATTGCCCACAAATAGATTAACATTTCAAGGTTTTAGGTTACAATGACATTAAAACACAAATTATAATAAGTTTTTGACCATATTTTATCTCAATAATCAATGACAATTATGGAACTCCATAATAGACAATTACTTATTAATTTATAGTGAAAAGGATACTGGAAGCTCCAGAACGTTTGATAGTGTCTTCTAATACTTTTATCCTATCCTTATGTAACTCACAGGCTATCACCTTGCCCCTTCCTTGCATAAGTGCTGTAAGCTGAGCAGTTTTGTTACCTGGTGCTGAACAAGCATCAAGAACCTAAATAATGAAAAAAGATTCAAAATTATATAAGTTTAGAACAACACCAAAATGGAAAAAGAAAATAAGCTCCAAAATTTGTCATTCATAACAGCAATACAAAATGCATATGAAAAGAAATGAATGATCAAACAGATGTATAAGGATTGCTAGAACATTATATGAGATGCATACAGCTCCTCAATGGGGATGAAAAAGTCGAAACATACAATCAAGAGGGATGCTAATGAGATATATTGTCATTAGAAAGCAGCTCCAAGGGTTCACAGAAAGAAGCTAACAAGATTAGGTTACCCTCAACAGCAGTTTCATAGGGGAGAATACAGTGGGATCATGCCAATAACATTCTGTCAAGACATACGTTTTTGTTTGATAGACTCAATTAAAGAATCTCATAATATTTTAAAAGTGCAACAAAGTATTGCTGGCTTTACTTATCATATATTATCATGATAAGCATCTGTTTGACTATTTAGCAATATTTGATAATTTTATGACAGTTTTGGCTGTCAAATTTAGTATGTGTTATTTTACATTTTTTAGATGCTGGAATTGTTTGAGCCTCTCTTCTTCTTACTAATTTCACCTAACCTTGCAATCTATCTCTCTTGGATTGCCTCTTCGATTGGTAATAGTTAGGTGGAAACCATGAGTATTATTTAATACAGAATCAAATGAGAACATCATACGTCAAAATATCTCAAGTAGAACTCAACATACAGATAAAATTATATTCACAAAAGAAAGCACAAAGCCAGAAACCCAACTAAAGCCACAAACAATAGTCAAAATTCACAAACAAGCTCAATATGGAAGTACTAATTTATAAGACATATTATAAGAAGGAAAAATTGTATCTTGTTTGAAACACACATTTAAAAAAGATGATCAAACCTAAAATTGGATGCCCCCTGCCAAACAAACTAGCTACTCCTGTTGGAATAATCACTCCATATTTCATTGACAACACTATTGCACAACCAAAAGCTCGATATTGGTTACTTCTAACAACATCATCAAAGTATGCATTGTTCACCATTTTGCCTCATTGAGAGGTTTAAATATCCTCATCATATTCCACGCTTAGCAAATCACACCCAGCATAATAAATATGCATAAAGTAATGCAATAAACACATGAAATAACTAACTTGATTTGTTCTCCAATTAGGCAATGTGAGCGATTCCCTAAGCATGCAAAAGCATTGCTTGAGTACACTAAAATGCATTCTGTATTATTCTTAAGGGACGAATGACACAAGTTGAATAACTCTGGGCTCCAAAGAGCCTTCAAGGTGATAATGAACACTACAGTATGAGGACAAGGAAGCTCATGGCATTTGTGTAACTTACATCCACTCAGTAGGGTTTACACAGCTTGTTAAAAGCAACAATAACTCCGTATATAAAACTAAACCAATATATTTATATTTATATTTATATTCAGCTTCCTCTTATTTCCATTTTTCATGCAAATAGAGCTTACATTTAATAGGTTTGGTTACCAAAAGGAGGGGGGTGAAACTGTCAACTATTCAACTTGAGCAAAGAGAGCAAACCAGAAGCAAATAAGAGATATTCTATAATCCCCGATAGATGTCGAACATGAATCAAATGTATCATAACAAAATGATGACGTGAGCAATGATGAAGTAGAAAAGAAAGATCCCCAAAATAACATGTGACAGACTAATATTGCGACAACCACCCTCCTCACAGAAAAAGAATTTGAATAAGTAATGGCCAATGAATTGCTAATGCGCCTTAAAGACATTGTTGTTAAATAAGACATTTTAAAAAATAAAACATTGAGAGGTGGTAATGAGGTAGTCATTACATATGATTGCTTAGAAGAGCTACAGAAATCAAAAGGGTCCTCTTTTGTTTTGTGAAATTGGAAATCAAAAGGGTCTTAGAAGCAAAAATGGTGCAATTAGTAGAAACTCCGAGGGAGGCAACAGCCCATATAGATGCATTTATTGGTGCTTAAGAGATGCATTTGTGTGCATTGCTTCCACTCACATTGGCAGACAAAAATCCATAGTTAATTGTGATTGTTCAGGTCACTAGGTTATGAAATTTGACTTATTCTTATTTCTTGACACATGGTCAACCATTTACATCTTGATTATAATGTCCTTCTTGGCATGACATGGTTGAAATTGATTTGCTATCGCATGATGCACTTTAAAAGATGGCTGATTTTATTGTTATATTTTGCTTTTATTATGATGACTGACTGATGTGACACTGTTTATGAAGTTCAAAGATGGTTGATGGTTTTTATTATCACTGACTATAAATGTATAACTTGTGCTGTTGGCATTGCATAATAGGGTCTTAAAAGATGGCTGATAGTGTTCTCATATTTTCTTTTATTATGATAAACTGGCTGACTAATATGACATGGTTTGTAAAGTTAAAAGATGTTTGATGTTTTCTCTTTTTTGGATAAATTAGCAAGGGAAAGGTTCCCAAGCCAGTTCTCATTAAAAGTAAAATATCAGTTACATCTTTCAAGCACCAATAAAATATCAGTTACTTCTTTTTACCAGCTTCGGAAGCATCCATGGTCATGATATTTTAACTTAATAGAATTACCAATAATGCAGAGATGCTTTCCACCAAAGGATGGTTGCACCACGACTCAGTTACTACTGCTCACGGGTAGAACTTCAGCCTCATGTTATTTGACACATTTCCACAAGGACCACAAAATACTATCATAAAGCTCCCAGTTGAGTTTTGTAAAAATACCGATATTTCCAGATCCACCAGGATACCCTGGACGCAACCATTGACTATTAATTTCTGCCATCCCAATGGCACTGCCCTCCAAGAGATTTCTTTTATCATACTACCCCCATCTCTCTAAATGGAATCCCAAAAGTCTCCAGGAGCTTCTTCTCAATAGAATGGAAGGTACATCTACAAACTGCGACTAAATCATTCACAAACTTTATGATTTTCCTTAGGTGACCCTTTCCATGTGTGTCACCACACCTTTTATAATCTTCTACTCATCTCCTGCCATATAAAACATAAGATTGTAGAAAACAAGGCTAGCCAAATTCCTTCGAAACCCTTAGACAACCATCTGCTTTTTAACCATTCCGAAAGAGAAACTTATAAGATTATCTTCTTGAATAATAACCTGTATCCCAGTTTGAGCTGCAAGAAAAGCCCACAAAAGTTTCAGGAAGGAATGTGCCAATTAAACAGGATTCTCCAGTACCTCTTCTCTATTACAAAAGAGGCAATGGGAAACCAAAAGTAACCCTCTTTTTTGTAAGAAGTGTGGGGTTCACTATCCATCATTAAGTGCTAGACCAGTTACCACAGGATGAGCTTCAGTTTTCCATATGGCTTTGAATATAGAACAAGGGTAGATGCCTCGTAACAATCTCTCATGCACTGGTCACCGTATCCAAACTAGTACTAGTTCTTCTAGAACGGAATGGCAGAATTGAATTCATGTAGCCAACCTCAAATGGTTGGGATAAGACTCGGATGATGATGATGATTCACTAGTTCTTGCTTTTATTTTATATGGTCTAAATAGTGACATTTAATTGTGTTATAAACGCACTTCTGCATCCCTCAAAATTTCTATTAATTGCACTATTTATGGCTTTTAAAATCCTAAAACATGTATCACTCTTATAGACAACTGCATATGTAACGACTACCTTATTGTCACTTCCCAACAACTTGAATACGTCTTAGTGTCTTCTTAGGCATCTGGAATCCATTGGCTAAAATTATTTTTCTGCAATAAGGTGTAGTTATGTTGATGGCCATCCTTTTGTATGTTGCATAAAACCTATTAGAGTGTTTGGATTTCATCTTCCCATCTGAATTCATAATTTTTATTTTAGTTGAATAGTTGACAATTGCATCTACCTATGACACTCATAAACATAGGGGCCAATCTAAATGCATAAAAACGTAAAAATAAAAATAAACTGAATAGAAACAAAAATAATATGATTTATTTTGATATAACATTTTTATTTTTACTTTCAACAAAACTAGCTAAATATTGCCTAATAAATGCAACTTATGCGAACAACCAAAGCCCCCATAACCCATAACGTGGTATTTGTCACACGTTGAGCAATTTAATTGCGCAGGCAAAAAGCGCCTCGACATACCAAACAATTATTCAACCTGCAACTTTCATCCCCAATAAATGCTATAGAAAGTATCTTTAGTGTTTTTTAAGAAATGCATTCACATGCTTAAGAATGGCTAATCAACTCAATTGAAAAGCAAAAGAAATTTGTCATCACAATAGTTTTAACACAAGTGACGATTGGATTTATGTGGGAAACGACAAAGATAAAAATTTCTCAACAAGGGATAATGGTGAAGAGATCATGCCTTGAGAATGTTCCTACAAGCGGCCATAATTAAGCTGCTAGTCAATTGCAAGATATCATTACAAGTAAAAAATATGGGGTACTTCATATAATTGGAGAAGATAATTTATTGCTCAGGGGTATGATGTTAGATCATATTTTTTTATGATGTGCTCAGTTTCATTTTTTGTCTATTAATTTGGTTTATAACCTTAATACAATGTCATAATTTAGAGGATTTTGTTTGTTCTTGATAGATTTGAACCTTAATACTTTCACAATTGTTGGAGATTTTGTTTGCTCCTGATAGATTTGGTTAGGTTAGTGCTTTCTTTCATTAATAAAAGTTTTATCTAAAAGTTGAAATCCACTTTAGAAATACTTTTTCATGTACAATGTTGATGTTTATGTGTATGTGTGTGTGAGTGAGAGAGAGAGAGAGAAAGAGATTCTAAGCAAGGTGAAGATCAAAGATGTTCCTGAAATAAAGAAGAAAATGAGAAGAGAGGCCCAAATATAAAAGTCATAAAATATAACTAGATGGATCTCTAAACACATTATGATACCATATATTCACAAAATGTGAAAAGCCAGCGTTATCTTTATCGCAGATTTCAAATTTCATAATATTCTTTAGGGA